CAGCGTCCGACGCCGACGCGGCGCCCAGACGCTCCGGCGCCGGTACGCCTCGGCCGCTTCTCTGGCGCCTCGCATAGGCGTCCAGCGGTTTCAACGACGCACCGGAGCGCTTTTCGTTGGATAACCTCGCCAGAAAGAGGAAGGTTGCTAGTGCGCGGTTGGCATCGGCGCAGTTTCAGCGGCTCAGCGGTGTTAGCCAGCAGAAACACGTACATCGCGCTTCATTTGTGCGCGTTGCGCGGAGTTGGACTTTGCACTGCTGGTATTACGCTGCATGCGACCTGAAGTATGGACCTTCAGGCTGTGGAGGCTTGCCGGCACACATAACGTCATCTCGGTGCGGTGTTCGCGCTGCAGCATTGATCCTACCTGGCGGAAGCTGCATGTGACTGACGCTTTGCAGCCTACTTGTTTCCCTGCCTTGGGTGGACTTTGGCGGACCTGCGGAGAGGACATTGTGAATATGAATAGCGAGACCCTGCAACCTTCCTATATTTACGCCACGTAGGCGGAGTGCAATCTGTTTATTTATTTTTTCTAGTGAGTGCGTCGTCCGCCTTCGAGGGATGAACATTTTGTCGCACGAACTTTTGGCGGAAGTGTTGGTGCAACTCTGCAGACATCGGCGCCAGAAGGTTGTCACGATCGCGACTTTCGCACCCTCGTAGAGCTCAAAGCCACCGCTGTTTACACGTCAATGGCTGTCAGTCTTCACCGAGCATTCTGATTAATCGTTCTCAGTGACGAGTTGATTTCCAGAGTGTGAGCAGCAATAGGACAGTGTTCAGCTGCAAGTGACGGCCGCATTCGTGTGATCTGCACGATGAGTCTCTTCACCGACGGGCCGCGCGTACGTCGAGCCGTGACCAAACGTGATGGTGACTGGAAGGCGGTCACCACGCCTTATAGTTTGACACCTGACGGCGATCCTGAGTGCTTCTACATTTCTTACCGGATCAAAATTCTTATGAGCCTGGACGCCGTTTACTATGCTGACCGCGGTCTGCGCTCGGAGGTGGACCGTCTGCTACGTTTGCCGCTGCTCAAAGGGTGGCCATCGGGATCGGTTTTTCGAGGTAATGATTGACATATGCTCTGTCTCTCTCTCCCTCTCCACGTTTAGATAATTTAGAGTACTTTTGTGAATACATTAAAAGAACATTGTTAATAAAAGCGTTCTCACATTTATCAAAGTATTTAGTGCATTTAGCACTTCTGCCGTGGTCCTGACCTGAAAATAAGACGCGAGCAGTGGGCCCTTTTCGCGATTCGTTATCGGACAAAATGCCAATGGACGATCTACATATGACATTGCCGTTTCTCTTAATTTCATTGCGTTGTTTACAACCGGTTTCATGTAACTCAATTCACGTTGTTGTGGGTGCTACCCCGTATGACCTGTGTGTTTCGGACTCTGCGTGTGTATTCGTAGTGATTTTGAAATTACTAAATCTTTCTGGTGGTGAATCAGATTGGGGATTTTCGGACAGCCGTCTCAGAGGCAGCCTATCTTCTCTCGCTTTTACGTCTACATAACAAACAAGAAAAGAAAAACTATGTGCGTCATTAATTAGCCAACGAAACTTCTGAAAATCGATGTCTCCCAGCTGTCGTAATGATGGCCTACGAATTCGAGGATGTTCGGGCGAATGGATGCGTTATCCTGCGCCTCGCGTCTCTACAATAGTGGCCACTACGTGTCCTGCTCGTGGAATGGCTTGTTTCGCTGCTGCTCAATAAGAAGAGAATTTCTTTGGCACAAACAATACAGAAAAACGAAAAAAAAAGAGAGAAAGGACGTGAGGAAAGAAACTGATTGACGCCAAATCTCTGTGCTGCTGGTGATGTTGAATTAACGCAAAGCCCTTTGTGGGGTGCCGGCAGCTTTAGACAACTTACGAAGCCTGGTGCGATTGTATACGCTTCTACCAGGGGCACTGGTCGACATTTTTTTTTTTCAGGAGAGGGGCTTGGGGGGGGGGGGGGCATGGGCAGAGCCGGGATGCGCTGGTTCTTTTAAAGAGGTGCTGGGAGCCTTTGACATCAGGGAAAAAAACAAAAAAAAAAAACGGGTATTCTGCGTCAGCGTACCTCCGGTTTTATTGCACAATATTGAATACCAACTGTTGAATCTAGGTGTTCCGTAGTTGGCTTTGTTGCGAAGTGCACGTATTTTTGTTTTAATTATTGTGTTTTTTGTTCACACGCTCACCGTGCTTTGAACGGTGTGCCAGGTTTGCGTTTTCTTGTTTTCCTAGAAACTCATTACATCAGGGTTTATTCGGTTTTTCTATTTCTCAGGTACTATAATTGTGATATGAGTTAGACGCCTCGTCTGTTCTTTCCTGCACGCGCTGTGAAATCGTTCTACGCATGTCCTACAAGAGCATTCAAAATACGAATGCTTCATGAAAATAAAGTAGTTGTGAGTTCGCGTTGTTTCTGTCTACTTTTGGTTCTAGTTTTTAACCTTACGCCAGTTGTCGTCTTTCAAGTATGCACGGGGCCTGATGTGCAGCCCCTTGGATACACCGCTGCAGCTTCTATCCCACAACATTATATCTGTTGATGTGACTCCGCGGATACATTTATTGCCGAAGCTTCGATTTATTATTATTATTATTATTATTATTATTATTATTATTATTATTATTATTATTATTATTTTGCCGACGCAATTTCAAGCACTGGCTCATGTGGTAGGATACTGCCTTGGGGGTTGTCTGGGTTTGTTTCTGGCTCGCATTGTTAATTTTATTATCGGAGTCCGTCGAGGCTTATTCCTTACGGATAACGCAGCCGACGCCGACATCGCACTTTCTGTCACACGGGCCTTCGAACGCTATCGATATGTTTCGAAGGGCAGTCAGGCAAATCCCGAGTGTGGCATCCTCGCCTGCGATGCATTCTTCCCTAAAGCATCTTTCTGAACACTGAGTGTAAATTGTGTAGTTATTTACCATACTAAGGGTACCTCCTGGATACAAGTGAGGCAATGGGGACACCAAACCTGGAACCGCGATTAGTTTACCATGTCAGAACTCGATGACGTCTCAGCGCTTCGGGAGTGCGAATTGACGGTCCGCTAGCGTGGACAGTCAATTGTCTGCGCGAACCTATTTAACCACTAGGTACCTGACGGCAGCAATTCTCTGCGTCTCAAAGCAGTGGCAGATGATCAACTATTTCATCAAGGCTGGGGCGGATTAAGATGCGCCCAGGGGCCTTCGTTGGGGTACACCTTTCGAGATGAGTTCCCAGAAACAACCGAGTGCCGTGTTGGTGCACTCCTCTACCCATTGGGAAAAATCGGTGGTGTTCCGGTCGGCACAAAGAATCAAACCCCGTATCTCCCGCATCGGAAGCGGACGCTCTAACTATGTTGCCACCGCTGCGATTATAGAGTGTGACCTTCGTTTTAGGTCTGGTGGTCCCATGCCGCCAATTTCCCCTTGTCACAGGATGGATGCCTTCCTAAGCGACTATAACTTCGTTCTGCTGAGCACCAGGCCGGAAGTGCGTTTTTACCTATTTAACTAGTAGGTAACTGTTGTTTTTTTCTTGACCACGGCAAAATGAAGCCCGGCGACCTCGTGCGTCATTTTGCCAGACAGTCTTGTCATATCGCACACGCATTCCTACGGGATATACAACTCCATCCAGAATTTCAACTCCCCCATGGAGTATGACCTATGCACGTTTTGAACTCACGGTTCCAGGCATAGGGTCAAAAGCCCGGCTCTCGTCTCCAGCGCTAAAGCAGCTTTCTATTCTCTTGTTATATGAGAAGTACAGTGAGCATACTCATCTATATACTGACGCTTCAACTAAAGTGGATGGGTCTGCAGGGTCGGTGATCTTTCCTGCAACAGCGACAACGGTGAAGTTTCGGTTATCCCACCAGACATCATCGACAGCTGCGGAACTTGCTGCTCTACGTAGCGCAATTCAAGTCATTAAACACCAAGAAGCCAAGAAATGAAGCGTGTTCACGGACTCTAAGGCAGCACTACAGTGTTTGATAGTCGCCTTACGCCGGGGACCTCATGAACAACTAGTGCTGGAAATTAGAGGGCTGCTTCACCACCTCTTCGACGAAGGGCACAGAACAACGTTTCAGTGGTTTCAAAGTCACTGCGGCATATTGGGCAACGAACATGCCGATGCAGCTGCTCGATCAGCACACGAAGATGGTGAAGATTCTATACCATTTTCAAGGACTGATGCTGCAATAACAATCCGAAAAATCGCTAATGCAGAATTAAAATCCCTGTGGAACACCGAGTGCTTATGGTACACGCGACTGCGTAGACTGGACACGTCTCGTGGACTCCGGCCTCCGTCTGGACTCTCTCGACTCGAGAAAACGGTGCTTTGCCGACTATGGCTTGGTGTCGCTTTCACCAAAGCTTTCGCCTTCCGAATCGGCATGGAAGACAGTGCTGCTTGCGGTCATTGCGGCAGCGATGAAACTATAGAGCACGGTCTCTGTCACTGCCCTCGTTACAGCGTGCAAAGACGGCAACTAGCTGCTGCGTTAGCTCGCCTTGACGACAGACCTTTGTCTGAACAATCTGTGCTGGAAAGGCGACATGATTTGTGTGCTCACAAAAAATCAGTGAAGGCCTTACTGAACTTTTTGCGTGGCCGCGGCCTATTGTATAGACTTTAGCATCCCAGCCCTCCCCCACCCCTTTTTTTTTGCGCGCTTCTCTTTCCCTTTTCGCTCTCTTTCCCATCTTCCCCATTCCCCTTCCCCTAGCTCAGGGTAGCAAACCGGATGCTCCATTTTCTTGTTAACCTCCCTGCCTTTCCCTCATTTTATTCTCTCTCTCTCTTGACCGCGTAGTCGCGCGCTTTGTTAAACTGTGTTAAAATGTGTCTTATAAGTATCACATATTTAGGCTGATGCGATCGATATTCATATACTGGGTCCAGGATCGAGCCCGAGTGAACAGCCTTCGATGCGGTCATGGATTCCGTCATGGCCGCCGACTAAGATGGCAACGGGCTCGAGTTGGCGGCCATCTTCGCAGAAGCCGTTCGACGGCTGTGCCTTCTGCCGCACCAACGGAGAGCGCCGCCCTTTCTACATGAGTCATGCCCTGCGTGAGGACAGCGGCCCTCGGTTCGTGTCATTTCTTTCGCTTTGTCGTTCGCTGACCGTTATTTAAACACAGTCGTTTGCATCGATGTTTACAAAATCATTAACGGTGTTCGCATCAAGTTGTTCACGCCTCGAAGGACGCGGCCTCCCAAGATCCCTGCTGACCGCGCAGCGTAACCAAGACCTCCTCTCGTGAGCATAACATATCACCGGATCGGTTCCCCTCTTCTGGGCGTAATGAAGTTTCAATCAATCAATCGATCAATCAACGCCGGGGCATCTACTTTTAATATCGTTGACGACACTGAGCTGTGCTGTCTTGACTCATTTAAAAATCCCATACCAGTAATGGAAAGTTTTCACAATGACTTTTCGCGTCAGGGACGTCATTACACGAGTCGACCGACGGGCAGGTGGAGCGGAGGAAACATTTTTTCCGCCGAATCGGGAGCCGACCGGGGATGTTGCCGGGGTTGCCACGAGATCCGTAACAAATAAATCAGAATTGCGTCGCGTTTCTTTCAATGTTCAGCCTATGTCGCTTACCTTTTTAACCTGTGTAGCATGTTGCGGACCGTCGTATTCAGGCCGCAGCATCTCTTGTGGTCGCCGTAGATTGGTTTATAGAACGCGCTTTATTCTTCCGAAGGATACTCGATCCGGATCGGGCACGATGATTCTAGTGCTTTCTTACCTTCCGCGTACGAACGACCATAGCATTTGCCTCATTGTTCTGTCTCGGAAGGGCCGCAGCGATGGCAGTGGCTTTGCGATGAACACGTTTTGCTATCGGCCACAAAAACGATAACCGCTGTGACTGCTTAATGTTGTCATGAACCGAGCTTGGGGTTATAAAAGGGAAAAGAAAGGAAAGATGAGCCCCCGTAACTGTCTGCATCAGCGTGCGACAACACCTCAACAGTAGCTCTCAAGGGATGGGGGTGAGGAAAGATGAAAGGTGTAGGATTAAAGGTACAGAGAGAGAGAGAGAGAGAGAGAGAGAGAGAGAGAGAGAGAGAGAGACGCGCTACGACAGTGAGCGACGACATAAGAAAGACAGGAAAGATGGAGACAGGGTCACAGGAGTCCGAGGACGGGGCACCACTTGCGAGAGCTCTTGTCGACGACAGGAAATGGCGTAGGGCTAATCCAGTCGGCCAGAGCTGCGCTGACGTCGTCGTCGGGGACCGGCGGCAGGAGGTGGCGTAGGACCAACCCAGTCGGCCAGAGCTGCGCTGTCGTCGGAGGTCGCGGGGGCACAACCGGTTGGCACGGAATCCAGCGAGTGAGTCTGTCAAGAACCGGTGCGAGAGAAGCGTGTCGTTCGTACGCGGAACGTTAGGGAGCACTATAATCATCGTGCGCACTGACGCGCGAGCGGGTTTGTCACGTGGTATTTTTTTTTGTATTTGGCGGGCATTTTGTTTAGCAGAAAAACCCTAATACGTAACAGATATAAAGTACAAATTATCTATTTGGATGTTTTGCAAACCGATCTACATCTTTCTCATTGAAATTCTTTATCCATCCTCGTTCCTTCAGAAGTTAGCTAATTGAACAAATCTAATTAAACAATACTTGATACCACAAAAAATAGCCTAATTCCAGGCAACAGTAAGCAACATGCATTTGGTCGCGTCGTAAATACGTGTACCGGCATATTTTTAAACTCTGGCTAAAGTTACGTAGGACACCCTGTATACGTTATCGTTAGGCGCCGAGGTTTTGGTGCAAGAAGAGGAGCTGCTGCAGCGCAGCCACACTAACATTCACGGAGTTTGAGTGGATGCTTGGGAGAATTGGCACGACAAAGTAGAAGTCAGAATAGTACCGTAGACTCAGTAAAAAAAAAAAAAAGGAAACACTCAGAACAAGCTTTATTTTACTGTGACCTGCAGCCCATTTAGAGACTGCGTCGGGGGGCACGCGACGGACGGACAAGTACTGCAAGTGAAAAAGCGAAGGAATGGCTTTGCGAAGGGTTCTTGTGGAGTAGGGGTCTCAAACACGTGACCCGCCGATGTTTCGTAAACGGCCCGGGCATGACAGTCCAATTTTTTTTGTGTGTGTGATTCAGCGGCTAGCTGTTTGTAACATTCCTAAATAATGGGTAGGTAGGTAGGTGACACTTTCTTTTTGTCAGGCAAGACGCAAGTTAGTGCGCAGTGGACGACTCCTACGTCGGGACCGCCAGGCCAAGCCTGTCATCCGCCCAGCGGGCCTGCTGGACCGTGGACAGCCCAGAGTAGGTCGGACAGGAGAGCAGCAGAGCGCCGCCTCCCGCCTGTCCGAAGTAGTATCGGGCTTAGAGCCTTACACTCCCAGAAATAGTGCTTGCATTATTTTCTTGCCTATCGTGATTAATAACAGTTTGGTTACGTGACTGGTTTTAAGCATTTTTTTTCCTGAAGGTGCCCCATCCGATCACCTTGTTTTGAAACATAACCGTGGGGCGAAAACTTCAGTACATATTCAGTCCAGATGTTTCTCGAATCGTGACGTCCAATCCCCATCATAAATCATCCATATGTCACATATATAAAATACCTCTCAAATGAAACCGTTAGCTGACATTTTGTTCCAATTAAAGCCACACCTCTCACCCCCTCCACCTTCGTGTCCCAGCTTTTGACTCTCCAGGCCCCTTGCGGGATTATATTTTGGTACGGTGACCTGGTAGCTGGCACGAGTAGGAGACTCCTGGTTCGGAGAGCGACCTAATAAGTGTGAAAGGTGTCGTAATAGTCCCTCATAGTTTGTTTATTCCTCCACGTCGATAGCGGTCCGCTTATCGCGTTAAAACGCGGAACTCGTTGCGTTAATTATTACGTGCTCAATGACTGTGCAGGTTCAAGGGTCGCGTCACCTGTCCCGTGCTGCGCTCCTACCAGTGTCCCCAGTGCGGATGTCCCGGAGGAGACGAAGCCCACACGCTGCGTTACTGTCCCCTGAACGAGGAAATCGCCCCGTCGGTGTACAAGACACCGCGCAAGTCGAACGGACAGCTTCGCTGGAGTCCTCGCGCAGCTGACGGATCACGATGCTTGGACTGCCAAGGCACGCCGTCGCCGCGCGTCGCCGGTCGTTGGGCCGAGCCAAGGAAACCATCGAAGTCGCGAGTGTGCCCTGTGGGTCCGCGATTGTGGCAAAGCTTTTGGAGAAGGAAGGTCAGGGCGCCGCGCTTCGCCGTTAAGTTTCAACGCTGGTGAGGGTTCAGTCAGTCAATCAGAAAGGGGAACGTTGTTACATGTTCTGAACATTTTCAACACGAATAGTTAAACTAATAGCCTAAATAGGCTTGTGCCTGGTCCAATACTGAAAAAAAAAGAACTTGTTAGCATGCAGTTTTGTTCAAATTCTTGCTTGTCGATGTGGTTATTCGTGAGATCCACTGAGTCAGTCTAGTTTGGTCTCTCTTTTCAGGGACATAGCACAGATAAACGTGCAGTGGTGCATGTTTGAGCTGGTCTCAGGATGAGAATGCTTGTTCGGCATGCGTGTTTGCCGAAGCACTGACCGTCGCGCAGTGCGCTCTTCTTGTCAAGCATATATAGCACGCAGATCCGATTGTGCGACGCGCCTGATAAGTTATTCCGTGAAGCGTGCAGATCTATCTGGCTCACTAGCGCTGGTTTCAGAACTAATACTAGCGATACAATGAGCGTTGTCGCTCGCAATTGCCTTGATAAAGCAATCCTCGTTAGGCGCGGGTGTTGCTTAATAATGCACATTGCAGCTTCTGTTGCTACTTTAGCCTTTTTTTTACGTTCTATACCTTCAGCGTGACTGCGAGAACTTGAAATAACGGGTATAGTGTTGCCCGATGTCTTCCTGAAGATTCACGTAATCAGCCGTACGAACGACGACGTTTTAATGCCATCATGTTCTTACTGTATGTGTTCGGTTAGTGATTGCATTTACATATCCCAGGTTCGATCACACCGGTTGATCTACGACTTCAGTGCTCAATCCCGTAAAAGGAGTGATAGCATTTTCTTTGACGCGATGTTATATACAACACCATTCAAAGAATGTGTCGATAGATGGCGCTTTGCTACGTGCAAACTTTCTTTGTTCTTTTTCGGCCATCTGAAAGAAACTAATGCCGTTGTTTCTTGATCACGGAAATGCTTTCTATTTTTTTAGTGAAACACTTGGTGCTTCTCGGGCTATACTTGTCCACAATATTCAACGAAGTGGCAAGAATTCACGCAAGTTGCGTCTGAGGTTTGTTTTGTAAAGTTAACGCCAAATAATTCACGCAAGTTGCGTCTGAGGTTTGTTTTGTAAAGTTAACGCCAAATAAACTGTGCGACTCGGTCGTCGCTGCTTCGTGTGATTTTCATTTCTTTGATCGCTTAGGATTGCGGGAAAGCAATAAAAGGAAAGAAAGGTAAGTCATCCAGACAAACATCCGGTTTACAACCCTGCCCTGAGCGTAAGAAAAAGGTGTGAAAAAAAGTTCAGCGAGGTAAAGCTAATGCCCAAATGTGTCCGGCGCTGTCCATAGCCACCGACCGCCACTGTAGGAGAAATCTGGGCTTATTGACAAATAAACCTTATGCCTTCTCCTCTGTCGTCAAACTCTCATTGATTTATCTCATATGCCGTGAGAGATAGAGATATAGTGCAGTTGATGTTATATAAGTGAACGTAGGTTGATATATCACCAGGTGTTAAAGTATGGCACATTGTGTGTGAAGTTGTGTTAATGGGAGCAACTGTCTCGTAAAGCCTTATAATTTTTTCTATTTCCGTTTATCAAATCATCTAATCCTTTATCGATCTCAGCATTCTCTGGGGCTTCATTTCGTTCCAGTAAGGGCTGTAGAATGTCGTTTAAGTAGTAGAAAAAAGAAGCTTTGTATTGTCGTCAATGTTCCTTGGTGTAGACAGGAAAGGGGGGAGGCGTTCGTTTCTTCTCCCCCAATTTTCAATAATAATTGATTGATTTATATGTAGGGTTTAACGTCCCAAACCACCATATGATTCTGAGAGAGACCGTAGTGGAGGGCTCCCGAAATATTGACCATCTGGTGTTCTTAAACGTGCACTGACATAGCACAGTGCACGTGCCTCTACCATTTGACCTCTATTAAACTTTCTGCAAAAAAAGAGAAAAAGAAATGGTTCCAAATCTGCATGTTACACCGCAAATGTCATCGAAAGACGTTTTGCGTCGGGAGAGAGTGAACAAAACTTTTATTTGATGTTCTGCGCAAGAAAATCGGCGAATGGTATTCTGGAGGCGCTGCGTTAGAGTGCCTCGAGCGTGTAGCGGAAGCGAACGAGCGCATCGAGGCACACTAGACACAAGCGCCATCTGGGATGGCGTGCAGCCTGCGGAGAAAGATGCGCGCCAGTCTCGGAGGTTATAATGTGTAGAACGCAAAGCGACGGGCAGGTGCCACCACCGCGACGTAGTAGCAAAGCGTTGGAAACACCTTTCTGAGCATCGCGTTGCACTGTCAGCGCAGCGCGATAAACGCTACAGTCTTTAGAGTTACTTGTGTGTGCCTCTTTTAGTATAAAGGCAGACATTCAAAACATCGAAGCGTTGTTGTGGCGCCTCAGATATGCGCAATAATTGCCTTTTAATTGACAATGGCACAGCTATGAACGCAAAACCTTGAGCAATATTGGTGGGCGCTGCAGATGGGCTTGGCCGTTTGGTGCCGTTTGAGATATCGTTAGGGCGGACAAACAGACAAATGCACAGACAGATAAAAAATTTTCCTTCGAAGGTCCCCAAGAAAGACTATCGTCTTTAAAAACCTGCGACCTTCTGGTCAGCAGCCAAGCACCGTAATCGCTGCAACACTGCAGCGGTCAACACGCAAACGCAAAAGAAGCGCGAGGGCATAACCATGAGTCATCATTTTGTTGTTTGCGTCCACCTGTTTCTTTGCGTAAGCATATTGTTATGCGTAAACTTCAAAGTGCTACGTTTTTTGCGAGTTCTCAAGCTGTACTATCGGCGTTAAGTGAAACGCGAACAGCGGCGAGCATTAGTAGCATTAGCGGTGGTGTAGTGCGGGCCGTCCACACCGTTCCGAAGCACTCCGGTTTGGCAGAGCTGCGCATGTCCACGATGATGACTGGACGGCACGCAGCCGCGCACTAAAGCATTTCGAAAGATTGTTGCTGCTCGAGTAGCTTTTGACGCCTTTAGTATATTCATGAGCGCGGTTTAAGAAAAAAACTCCCAAGCATTTCCCCGAGGGTGAACATGGTTAAGTGCGAATACACGGGGTGATGCTAGAGGGGTATTTATTAATTCGCACTATTATATTTATTATTCACACTATGGTGCCTTTATGGTGAAATGGTTCCTGGGAATCGCAATTCGATCACACGGGGGAGTTTACGTTAACTCACTGGCGAATGCCAACGGATTTTAACTTTACTCCCCCTCACGACCCGCTCTCGACGGGAGACTGAGAGAGAAGGCGGGCGCGTGAGAGAGAGAGGGGTGCGCGCGCAGCTGCAGCGAGCGAGGAGAGCGGAGGAGCGAGCGAAGGGGGAGGGGGTTTAAGGCGCGTTACTGACACCGATATCAGCGTCGCGTCCGTGGCTTAAGTGCCAACCACTGGCACGCGTATGCTTGCGCCTACGCGTCAAAAGCGTCTAGTCGCGCCTGTGGAGGAAAAGGGCGTGCAACTACTGGCACGCGTCGACCACGTTGACGCCCACGCGTCCAAGGCCGATGCGCAATGTTGCTTGATCTTTTGGCTTGGAACTGTCCAAGTTCAGCACAGAACGGCACGTTCTCAACTGGAGCGGGAATGTATGTTTCAGAGGATATGAGAACACGTTAACAAGTTGATAGTGCTTCAACCACCACAGTTTAGACTATTTTAGAGGTAATTGACATTTCAGTGCCCAAAGTAACTACAGCGGTAGCACCAGAAATCAACATCGGTGCGTGTGCCGCTCCCGCGAATGAACATTCGCGTCTAGCATACTGTACGGCTATCATAGGCGTGTGCAGGGCTCTCCTTAAGGGGGGGGGGGCAAAAGTTTGTCCCAGTGCCCCTCCCCAGGGCTGACTTAGCACCCCCTCCCTATTATGTTAATATATGGAATTGACATTGAGCTCCCCCCCCCCCCCCTCCTCTCTGCGGTGGATGAGGCGTGGCTGCCTTCCTGATCAGGTTTACAAACCACCGGGTTTCTAGACCTGCACTACCAAAGTTACTAACAATATCTTGTATATGCTGGTACCTTCAGTATATTTACACAACATATTTTATATCAGTCAACTTAATAATCACGCCTGCAACTTCATGATCTGAGATATTTAAGTCAGTCATAAGACTACAATTGAGGCCAGAGTAGCAGGCTTTCGGTTGATGTGTGTGTTCGAAATATCCTCTAATGCAACAAAGCACACCCGGTTCTTATTGACACAAGAGATATTGGTCATAAGATAGGAACCAAATACTGCGTAGAATGCCTTCGGGCATTTTCCATAGCAGAAATGTGCTCTAATGCAACTAACTGTGCCTGACACTTCATGATGTGACAGATATTGGTCAGAATATTTCAACTGAACCTTGCACTGGAAGACTTCTGGACGTTGTCTTTAGTCAAAGTATTCTCTAAAACGACAGACGACACCCAACTGTTCATGAAGTGACAGATATCGGTCATAATATTAGAACTGAAACCTCAATACAAGACTTCTGGACGTTGTCTTTAGTCAAAGTATTCTCTAGAACGACAGATGACACCCAACTGTTCATGAAGTGACAGATATCGGTCATAATATTATAACTGAAACCTCAATACAAGACTTCTGGACGTTGTCTTTAGTCAAAGTATTCTCTAGAACGACAGACGACACCCAACTGTTCATGAAATGACAGATATCGGTCATAATATTATAACTGAAACCTTAATACAAGACTTCTGGACGTTGTCTTTAGTCAAAGTATTCTCTTGAACGACAGACGACACACAACTGTCCATGAAGTGACAGATATCGGTCATAATATTATAACTGAAACCTCAATACAAGACTTCTGGACGTTGTCTTTAGTCAAAGTATTCCCTAGAACCACAGACGACAATCAACTCAACTGTTCATGAAGTCACAAATATCGGTCATAACATTAGAACTGAAACCTTAATGCAAGACTTCTGGACGTTGTCTTTAGTCAAAGTATTCCCTAGAACCACAGACGACAATCAACTGTTCATGAAGTCACAAATATCGGTCATAACATTAGAACTGAAACCTGAATGCAAGACTTCTGGACGTTGTCTTTAGTCAAAGTATTCTCTAAAACGACAGACGACACCCAACTGTTCATGAAGTGACAGATATCGGTCATAATATTAGAACTGAAACCTCAATACAAGACTTCTGAACGTTGTCTTTAGTCAAAGTATTCTCTAGAACGACAGACGACACCCAACTGTTCATGAAGTGACAGATATCGGTCATAATATTAGAACTGAAAGCTCAATACAAGACTTCTGGACGTTGTCTTTAGTCAAAGTATTCTCTAGAACGACAGACGACACCCAACTGTTCATGAAGTGACAGATATCGGTCATAATATTAGAATTGAAACCTTAATACAAGACTTCTAGACGTTGTCTTTAGTCAAAGTATTCTCTAAAACGACAAACGACACCCAATTGTTCATGAAGTCACAGATATCGGTCATAATTATAGAACTGAAACCTGTAAGAAAGACTTCTGAATGTTATCTTTAGTCAAAGTATTCTCTAAAACGACAAACGACACCGAACTGTTCATGAAGTCACAGATATCAGTCATAATATTGGAACGGAACCCTGTATGGAAGACTTCTGGACGTTCTCTTTAGTCAAATTATTCTCTAAAATGACAAACCGCACCCAACTGTTCATAAAGTCAATGTTATCAGTCATAATATTGGAAGTGAACCCTGTATAGAAGGCTTTTGAACGTTGTCTGCAGCCGAAATGGCCTGCAGCCAAAATGAACGTTGTCTGCAGCCGAAACAACGCACACCCTACTCTTCATGATGTGACGGATTTAGGTCATGAGGCTGTAATTGTGCCCTGTTCAGAGGGCTTTGAATGATAAGCGTATTGGAAATATCCTGTCATGCAAGAAACCGCATCTGGCTCTTAATGATACAACAGATACTGTCATAAGAATGGAACCAAGCACTACGTAGAATGCCTCTGGGCATTTTTTTTAGTCAAAATATGCTCTAATGCAACTAACTGTACTTGAAGTTTTCATAATAAGACAGATATTGGCCATAGGGCTGCAACTGAACCTTGTAGGAAAGACTTCTGGATGTTGTCTGTAGTTAAAGTATTCTCTAAAACGACAAACCGCGTCTAACTCTTCATGAAGTCACAGATATCAGTCATAATACTGGAACTGAACCCTGCATGGAAAGCAGCCAAAATGTTCTCCAATGCAATAAATATACCTGACACATCACGATCCAACAGATATTAGCGACTAGATTGGAACCGAGCACAGCGTTGAACACTTTCGGATGGTATATTTATTTATTTTCAAATACAGCTGCTCACTGTGAGGCTACTGCAAAAGTGGCATACATATATACAAAATGAAAGAACATAAACAGTAATATCACATTAAGTGTGCCAAGGTAAACAAATATCACTACCCTTGAGTGCACCCCTGTAATAAATGAGAGAAATAGGACATTATTATAATACAAGTGCCTCCAAAAAGTCAGACACACTGGGATTAGGAATCAAACCAAGTAGATCAATCCAGTGTTTGATAACTTTATTTGAACGTGTTAGAGAACTCTACAAATGACTTCTAAGCTGGGTGGTGATTGCGGATCAGTGCTGTGTTGAAGACTTCAGCACTTTGCTGGTAGTTTAAATATCCTTTAACATCTACAAAATGCATCTGACACTTCTTGATGAGACAAACATTGGTTTTGAGATTACAGCCAAGCACTGTGGCTTTAGCATGTCATTAATTGTCAAAATACACTATAATGCAATAAAGCATGCCAAAAATTTTTGATGGGACAGATACTGATCAAAGGATTGCACCAGAGCACCGTACAGAAGTTTTGGCAAGTTTTCCAACAGAACTACACAGAATACGCTTAAGTGAATGCGTATATATAATCCAAGTTAATGCATATACTAAAAAACCGAACAGAAATGAAGGACTCCTTGGAAACACATACAAATATTCAATGTTCAGAACCATCGAATATATTGAGCTCATTACAGTCTGGAGGCACAGATAAATACAAGCACAGCTCTGAAAGGACTCATAAGTCACATGAGGTACTTTTTGCATTTCTTCTACACAAAGTGCAGTACCATACTAGTGTACCTTCATTCATTCTGTGCATACATGTGGTGATATTCTCTTCCCACAATCGTGTCATCGAACAGCTGATTTCAAATCAGGTGCTTCTCACAAGGTTTTCAGTTATCTGTCCAGCTGTAAACAGATCGCGCGTTATGTTATAGTAAACTGTAAAATGACGGAGAAGCGCCATTGTATGCCTATAGCTATGAGTATCAGAATGAACTACAAATTAAGAATGTGTGTGTTAGAATGCCTCCAAACAACGTATGTGCTACTGAGCGTAGCACAGAAGCAGAAGAAGCGAGAAGTGAAATAGCAGGCAATACCAGCAGCACTTAATCATGCAACTTTCTTTTTCGATCACCACGGCGACGCACGCTCGAGTTTCTGTCTTGTACGTGAATGGAAATGAGACCGCTGACAGCCCAGTGTGTCAGCGTCGCTGGTACCCGACACGAAGTTGCATCTCACTGCTACCAACCAGCGCACGCTTATGATTAGCTTGGCAACACACAAAAACGATTAGCACCGAAGCCAACGAATGTTTCCGCGTCATACAATTCGCGAATACACTTATATAAGTACGTACGTTTTCACATCACGGAAATGTGTTGGCTAGTGCGAGGTTCGCTTTCAGCGATGATGAATATTGATGTTGAAAACAAACACAAACACAGTGCAGATAAAAACTCCTCCGTATGACCTACGCGATATTTCGGTCGTCGTATATGGTGTCTATGTTGCGACGGAAACTACCGTAGAGTTTTTTTCAGCCGATGTGCCTCGCATGTGCTGGTTCATACGAACTAGATGGTAGAGGCCTGCGCTGGATGCAGATGACACCGATCTGAATTGCCTCCGCGGTAGGCGAGGGCTCACGCTCAAACCTTCGAACCTCCGAAGTATGTTCGCACTCGTTTTTAGCACAGAAAGTCACAGATGAAAGCACAAGAACACCGACATGCTCCTTTCGCTCGGCCGACGATCGCACAGGGGTCCGGCGCTAGCATAGCCGGCCGGCATTCGCTGGATTTGTCGGCGTCGCTCGAACTCGGCACGAAACCGCGTCACGCTGGTAGCACTCGCAGTCGTTCGTCGTTTCGTTGTCGTTCTAGATTACGAAGCGGTCATTCAGGAACGTTAGGAGTAGTTTTCATGCTTGCTTTCAGCACTCGGCTGTGCCTTCGAAGCGGCGGCCATTAGGCACAGCATTCGGAGTCATCGCGGCCTCTGGTTGGTTGGCGCGCGGCCTCTGGTTGGTTGGCGCCGCTGTACGCGTGGTGACGTAGCGTACGCGAGGCGAAATATCAAGCCCGGCTTGATCCCTAGCGCCTGCTCGCGTATTCCCCTCCGAAGCCGACGCCGAGAGGCGCATTTGACGCTTTTGACGCGTAGGCGCGAGCGAACGCGTGCCAGTGGTTGCCAAGCTGCGGCCCGCCAAGTCCTCTTTCTTTTAAAGATAGAGAGAAGACTGCGGACGCCGCCGACGGCGGTGGATGGTTTGGGGTCGCTTATAAAGTGTATTCCCACTTAAAAAAAAAAAATACCGGCAAATTGTTTTTCTTACAGCGTGGTCGTGAGCGTGGACACGGGAGCGCGCGTCGCTGTCAGCGACGCCCGCCACATGGAACGCCGCACCCGCGCAGTTCTTTTGCGGCATGAATATTGTAGTATCGGGTCACCGGGTGAGGGTTTCCAACGATGGTTCGCTCAGATAACGCGGTACGCGTGATGGTGAGTCTCGCCGCTGATATACCAAGCAGCAAGCTATAGCAGCGCTGCTTAGCTCTGTGACATGACCGCGTACTAACCAATACGTCTGGCCATTACGGCTCAGTTTCCATTCGTTTTCCTGTAAGTGTGCCTTGTAGGCCATTTGAAGACAAAGAAAGGGCGTAATTTTGCGTGCTGCTATTCGCTTGTGTCAAACGGGCGCCAGACAACTCGGCGTCAAGTGGACTACTGATCTTGGACACCTGACTTTCCCAACATTGTTGTACTGGAATGTCACATCGGTCACTGGTTGAGAGCGCCTCTTGGGAGGCGCGCATTGCCTATCGATTTTCTTGATGCCTTGGGCGCAGTGCGCATGTGTGAAGGCTTCGCAATTCAGCGGAAGAAGAGGATGCGTGGCCTGGTGCTGTTACGGACAAGACACAGCTGCCCACTGTGGCAGTATCAGGAGCGGTGAAACGGCGTGTTGCGCTCCGGTACGTACTTTAGGCCTTCTTACCGTTTTATACATACACACGTACCTATATACATAAACAGTTGTATATGTTCTACATATATTATAACGTATAACATATATACTTACCATGCACTTCTGACTCTCGCGGTAGCGCAAGCTAACGAATACGTCCGTCTGGGAACAGGTGGTCGGAAACGTTGCTGCTCTTTCAGTCCGCTGAATGCCGTTGTGAACGGAAATACGGGCTTCTGATCTTCGAGGCCTTCAACTGTCGACGAAGAGTTGCCTTATCGGACAAATAAAAGCTGGCATATCTTGTTTTAAGATTGGGTGAGGCTTTGAAAGGTAGTTTCAAAGTTGGGTTTGTACAGAAGTGGTAATAAAAAGTGTGGGAATGAAATTCGCAAGCTAAAGGTAGACGCCGGATGCACTATACTCAAAATTAGTTTGTTTGATTGCTTTTTTTTAGTTGTATCTTTTCTACGTATGTACTTCTGATAAGATCTGATGTCTGCGGAGCATTGCAATTTTTAACAAACATATATACTAAGGCTTCACAAAAGGAAAACTACTCTTACAATGAAAAACTCGATTTTTTGTTTTTGTACATTTTTTGATGTATGAAAATTGCCAATTACGAATGTGCATACTAAAATTTACGAATGGGCCTAGCCTACTGATTATAGTACAAGTTATGTAAATGCAAATAATTAACATATGCGTCAAAATTTTCTCACCTAAAGGGGGCGTGGCACCCATTTTTAGATCATAATCTGGGTTACGTGGCTTAACAAGTCTCCTTGGACTTAAGTCTTCTTCATGCACAAATAAGCTGGCAAAATTTTAGCGCATTTTGTCGAGTGCATAGTTTTTTATAATTTTATAACTGAGTATTTCTATAAGCACGTGAGCTGCCTGAGATGTGAGCAGCAGTAGCACATTCGCCAGCCCTGACATAACAAGCAACTAGCTGCCGGAGCGTTTGCATGCCGGTGTAGCAGCGAGGAGGAGAGACGTGAGACGGCGTCGAAGGCGGCCGACGGGGCAGTGCTGATCTCGCCACTTTATTGCACGCCTGAAGAGGAGCCGCGGTGGCTGTCCACGTCCGACGCGCCAGGTGCGTGAGCTCGTTCTCATCCTCGCGCAGCTCGAGCTAGCATGAGCTGCGCGAGAGGCGCGGCGCGGCGATCCAGAAATGATGATGGTGATGATGGCACTACAGGGCTCCCCCCCCTAGCGCTTTGCGCGATTTGAAGGCATATGAAAAAAAGAAAGAGAAAGAGACTATATACATGAACGACAATCCGCAAGGTGTCCGTTTGGGAAGTTCCAGGTTGTCAACGTTGATTGGCCATCGGGAAGCAGCGGGTCTCTGGCGGGCGACACTGGCGGGCAGAGTTGCGGGAACATGGCAGCGGGCCGTTCGGCGAAGGGCGTGTTCTCCGGGTCACCAATGTAGCGGCGAGGAGGAGAGACGTGAGACGGCGTCGAAGGCGGCCGACGGGGCCGTGCTGATCTCGCCGCTTTATTGCACGCCTGAAGAGGAGCCGCGGTGGTTGTCCACGTCCGACGCGCCAGGTGCGTGAGCTCGTTCTCATCCTCGCGCAGCTCGAGCTAGCATGAGCTGCGCGAGAGGCGCGGCGCGGCGATCCAGAAATGATGATGGTGATGATGGCACTACAGGGCTCCCCCCCCTAGCGCTTTGCGCGATTTGAAGGCATATGAAAAAAAGAAAGAGAAAGAGACTATATACATGAACGACAATCCGCAAGGTGTCCGTTTGAGAAGTTCCAGGTTGTCAACGTTGATTGGCCATCGGGAAGCAGCGGGTCTCTGGCGGGCGACACTGGCGGGCAGAGTTGCGGGAACATGGCAGCGGGCCGTTCGGCGAAGGGCGTGTTCTCCGGGTCACCAATGTAGCGGCGAGGAGGAGAGACGTGAGACGGCGTCGAAGGCGGCCGACGGGGCCGTGCTGATCTCGCCACTTTATTGCACGCCTGAAGAGGAGCCGCGGTGGCTGTCCACGTCCGACGCGCCAGGTGCGTGAGCTCGTTCTCATCCTCGCGCAGCTCGAGCTAGCATGAGCTGCGCGAGAGGCGCGGCGCGGCGATCCAGAAATGATGATGGTGATGATGGCACTACAGGGCTCCCCCCTAGCGCTTTGCGCGATTTGAAGGCATATGAAAAAAGAAAGAGAAAGAGACTATATACATGAACGACAATCCGCAAGGTGTCCGTTTGGGAAGTTCCAGGTTGTCAACGTTGATTGGCCATCGGGAAGCAGCGGGTCTCTGGCGGGCGACACTGGCGGGCAGAGTTGCGGGAACATGGCAGCGGGCCGTTCGGCGAAGGGCGTGTTCTCCGGGTCACCAATGTAGCGGCGAGGAGGAGAGACGTGAGACGGCGTCGAAGGCGGCCGACGGGGCCGTGCTGATCTCGCCACTTTATTGCACGCCTGAAGAGGAGCCGCGGTGGCTGTCCACGTCCGACGCGCCAGGTGCGTGAGCTCGTTCTCATCCTCGCGCAGCTCGAGCTAGCATGAGCTGCGCGAGAGGCGTGGCGCGGCGATCCAGAAATGATGATGGTGATGATGGCACTACAGGGCTCCCCCCCTAGCGCTTTGCGCGATTTGAAGGCATATGAAAAAAAGAAAGAGAAAGAGACTATATACATGAACGACAATCCGCAAGGTGTCCGTTTGGGAAGTTCCAGGTTGTCAACGTTGATTGGCCATCGGGAAGCAGCGGGTCTCTGGCGGGCGACACTGGCGGGCAGAGTTGCGGGAACATGGCAGCGGGCCGTTCGGCGAAGGGCGTGTTCTCCGGGTCACCAATGTAGCGGCGAGGAGGAGAGACGTGAGACGGCGTCGAAGGCGGCCGACGGGGCCGTGCTGATCTCGCCACTTTATTGCACGCCTGAAGAGGAGCCGCGGTGGCTGTCCACGTCCGACGCGCCAGGTGCGTGAGCTCGTTCTCATCCTCGCGCAGCTCGAGCTAGCATGAGCTGCGCGAGAGGCGCGGCGCGGCGATCCAGAAATGATGATGGTGATGATGGCACTACAGGGCTCCCCCCCTAGCGCTTTGCGCGATTTGAAGGCATATGAAAAAAAGAAAGAGAAAGAGACTATATACATGAACGACAATCCGCAAGGTGTCCGTTTGGGAAGTTCCAGGTTGTCAACGTTGATTTGCCATCGGGAAGCAGCGGGTCTCTGGCGGGCGACACTGGCGGGCAGAGTTGCGGGAACATGGCAGCGGGCCGTTCGGCGAAGGGCGTGTTCTCCGGGTCACCAATGTAGCGGCGAGGAGGAGAGACGTGAGACGGCGTCGAAGGCGGCCGACGGGGCCGTGCTGATCTCGCCACTTTATTGCACGCCTGAAGAGGAGCCGCGGTGGCTGTCCACGTCCGACGCGCCAGGTGCGTGAGCTCGTTCTCATCCTCGCGCAGCTCGAGCTAGCATGAGCTGCGCGAGAGGCGCGGCGCGGCGATCCAGAAATGATGATGGTGATGATGGCACTACACCGGCAAATAACTGTTCCGTGGTCAGCTGCGTGCGGAATGAGATAATTTCGCTTTCCTCAGCTTGGCACTGAAACTGAACAATTTGCAATTGTCGACAATTGAGTAGGAAAACACATGGAGGAAGAAAAGCTAAGGAGACACGGAGGAAGGAAAGATAGGAAAGGGCATACCCATCCGGCGCGCTACGTGAAATGTGTGGAGGAAATGACATCATGGCGGCCATATTCACTGGGCACAATGACAGCGTTGCTATGGTTACGTGTTGCGCAGTGGAGCTGGTCTAGCAGTGAGCGGCCGCGGCTGGAGGCGGCATGTGTGCCTCTCCAGGTCTCGTGCTGAGCCGTGGCGGACAATAGGGAGCTTTAGAATACCGTTTGCAAGCGCTGCGGACGTAGCGGGCACCATATATATGATCTTTAGAATAGCGTTTGCCCTGCTGCTATCTGCAACGCACGATCGCAGCAACATCGTAGCCTCGGAACCAGCGCTTGCGGGCCACATGCGGGCCGCCATCACCACACGCAATTATGGATTTTTCGCGTGCGGTCCGCGAACGCCAACTCGCGTTACGACGCATGCGCAGTGGTAGCGACCGCACCGCAAGGGCTCGCGGTGCGCTATTCTAAAACTCCCTAATAAATGTGCTGTGCGCCGCCGTTATTGGTTGCGCAGTGTTCTCCTGGCAGTTACTGTACTCTTAGCAACGTATACAAATCCTTTTGTCCATCACGGGGTTTCATCAGTGCGTAGAACGAGTGCATATCCATGTGTCGTGTGGCGGATGAAGCAAATAGTGATAAGCGAAATTGCGTTAGGCACAATGACGATGCGGAACGACGACTAACGCCTTGCAGGTCAGCGATGGTTGGGCAGTGCTCCTTGTGACAACGGGCGACGCTGTTGAGCCCAGCAAGACGCAATGAGGAGCATGTGCACATACGTAGTTTCGTGTTGTGTGTGTACAGTAAGAACTTGCATGTGCGCATTAAAACACCTTTTTTGTACCGCTTCGTATACTCTCCCCCAGCATTGCATGTAATCTCAACGTAACAGCAACCGCGTTCAAGTGTCACTTGCACCGTGCTCAAAGTCACTATGGTCGCCGAATGCTGACGCTGGTGAGTTTCACGCGGAACACGGACACTGGCCGGACGCTGCGTCGGCCGCTTGGCGGAATCAACCGTAGAAGGCGCACGACCTAGCGTGTTGTTTGTACAGTTGCTGAATTAATGACGTGAAACACTCGCTGTTGTCGGTGGGTATAGCGCGCGTTCTCTTGTACTTGCTTCGTTGTCGGTGAGCTGTTACTCGCCGTTAATGCTCGGACGAAATGATTTCGCCGAAGGTGGCGCGCTGGCTCAGAGTGTTGAGCCCCGTTCCATTAGTTTCGGATCGTCACGACACGCGCGCTGTGCAGCTCACGTGCTTTCCGAGCCGGAGGGAGAGTCGTGCCTTCGGCTTTACATTAGGATGTAAACAAGAGAGGAGAATTTGGCCAGTCAATATGGCCGACTACCGACTTCATCGCGGTTTCACAACGAGTGACGTCAGGGCCTCTCCTATATACCTTTCCTTCCTCCGCGGCCTGCCCAAACCGAGTACATTTTACTTTGAGGGACGATGTTGCGCTGCTACCGCTCGAGGGCGCTAAAAAGCACCCAAAAGCTGTTTTATTTCTAAGAACATACGTCTGGTTGAACCAAACGTATCTCGGTACGGTCAATACGGTGAACAAAAGGAGTCGTTGAGTGCTTCGCATGCAGCGTACTCAACGTATCGTGCCACGTGCGTAGGCTCGTTACGTACGCCGAACTAAATGTGTCTACTGAGGTGCTTGCGCGCTGGCGCTTATCCTTCGGTGGGGAGAATCGTGTGCTTTCACTGGAATGATTGCGTTCGTTGCCTGGGCCACGAAGGTCAACCTCGCCCACCGGGCAGTGTTGCGACGCGCACCTCCGACGACGTTACGAAGGGCGCCTCGAAATCTCACCGCTGCAACCTCTGTTACGAAAGACTGCGACGCCAACACGGTCCCGAAGGCGCCACTGCTTCGAACTCCGCAGGGAAGGTCACCAGCCGTTTGGTAGCGTAGGTTTCTCAGCTCGCGACTGCTTCTGCGCTGAGCTGATAGACGAGCGGACGAGACGACGGTGAGTTAAACAAGGTTTATGTACAGCATATATACAGAGGCGTTACGAATTCGGCACTGGGGCCGACAGAGACACGAAGAGCCGAGCTCTCCTCTCTAACACATAGGTCTGCTCTCAAATGGGTCCGCTGTCAAAGGGGTCTCTTCTCTCTCGACACGCCGCAGGGCTTCTTTTATATGCACCGGGTCCAACCCAAATGTCCAACCAGAAGCGCCGCTGGTCGTGGGGTCAGACTCCTCCAATGGGAGTCGCCGCTGGGCCGCGTCATTCTTTCTCATCGAATCTGGAGAGGCTGCGCTGCAGGTGGCTGCACCCAAGGACGAGTGACGTCGCTAGGCATTGCGTCAGCCGCCAGACAGGAAGACGCCGGTTGTTTACTCGACGGGCTCGCTTGCGGAGGTGACTCACTGCACGTGCACGCCAGAAAGGCGCCGTCGTCTGTTGACGCCGTTGAGTTGTTCGCGTCAGGCGGACTCGCGGGCTGGCCTTGACACAGATTGCCCTTTTCAGAGGCACGGACGTTTGCTGCGGACTCGCAGGCGTAACAGCAGGCCCCGTTTGCGAATAGAGCGCGCTTTTCAAACACAGCGAAGTAACAACTGGGAAGCTCGTTAGTTCGCACTGATATTTGCACCTATGATTACGTTTCGTGCGTTGTTTTTGTTTAAACAGCGAGTTAAGCGTCAAGTTGTAAACGTTGCTAGTTATCTCTTGTCCCGTCTGCGTTGTTTTCGTGCGTCATTTGTGCGTGAGCAGCGCGCTGCATGTTTTGATCTGCTAGCCGTTCTGAGCGTGACATTCAAGTTATTTCTATCAGATTCATTGCTTCGCCCTTGAGACGAAACTGACTTTCTTTGAAGCCTCGAATGCTCAATATTGATGTATGTTCTGAAAGATAAAGGATAAAGGATTAAAAAATGATTGATATGTGGGGTTTAACGTCACAAAACCACCATATGATTATGAGAGACGCCGTAGTGGAGGGCTCCGGAAATTCACACCACCTGGGGTTCTTTAACGTGCACCCAAATCTGAGCACACGGGCCTACAACATTTCCGCCCCCATCGGAAATGCAGCCGCCGCAGCCGGGATTTGAACCCGCGACCTGCGGGTTAGTAGCCGAGTACCTTAGCCACTAGACAAAGGATTGAAAAATCGCAGAACAATATATATATATATATATATATATATATATATATATATATATATATATATATATATATATATATATATATATATATATATATATATATATAAGGGAAAGAAGTGTATACCTAAGGGCTCGTTTTTCCGTGTTTTGACGCATTAGTAATGAGATCTAACCGACAATATTGCCAAGGAATGTACAGGGGAAGTTATTAGAACGAATGTAATGTTAATAAGAAGAAAGAAAAGTGGTTGAAAAAACAACCTACCGTTAGCAGGAAGGTTATTTTTCATCCACTTTCTTCTTATATACATTACATTCGTTCTAATAACTTCCCCTATACATTCATTGGCACTATTGTCTGTTAGATCTCACTATATATATATATATATATATATATATATATATATATATATATATATATATATATATATATATATATATATTGTGACCGAGGGAAGTCCACACCACCTTAACATCATGGTTAGTATTCATTAGACCAGTATCGAGACCTTGCGTCGGACCTGTAGCTTAGGGCAAATAATATCTGCCAGTCATACTGTTGGAAGAGGCTAAAAAATTGACCTACCTTTGTGGATTCGGTCGCAAATGTGTGACCTCGGAAGGAAACAAAGCTGCGACCATGCCGACACTTTCCGTAAGCGTTACATTTAGAATACACGCCAGCTCTGATAGTCAGCGTATCTACGTTACGGGCCTTGCAAAATTTTTTTTTCGGAAAGAAAAGGGCCGTAGGGGCTCCCCCTTCCCCTCGTAATTTCTGACGGAGGTGGTGTTTTATCGAAAATAATAAAAATACCGTGTGTCCTAAAAGAGTAAATGACTTCAGCAATTGGCTCTTCCACTCTCCCCCCTTACCCTCCCTTCCTTTCCCAAAAAAGTTCTGGCTATTGGCTGCGCCGGGGCTTAGCCTGACATATTTTTTTTTCTGAGAGGCGGGGGACACTGTACTCTATGTATGTTCATTTGTGTTTTTGTGTTTGTGTCTATATACGCATGCATAATTAAAAAAAATTGGAGGGTCGTTGAACGCCTCCCCCCTGGCTGCGCCAGTGGTCAGCCCCTTCAATCCTAAATCGAACCGGTCCTCACAACTTTCTGTCCGTTGTTTCTTCTTGAATCAACAAAAAAGAATGAAAGAATAAAGGTAAAGAATATTGTCTGAATAAATATCTGCTATTCTATCCTATACTGTGCGTTAGGGAGAGATTAGAAAAATAAAGGTAGAGAGATATACATAGAAGCTTAGGACATTCTGTCCATAGTACAGATAGTACAGAACGTCAGTCGTCTATTATACAAATTTGCTCTTACAGCTTTGTTCGTAAGAACTAGAATGACGCATGGTCAACAACATAGGTTAAAGAATGACAAGGTGAGACTGTGGCGTCGAAACAAAATATTTTTTTAATAATATTATTCAATAGGTACACGGCCTTTTACAGCTCCAGCGAACGTTGACAACAAACATGTAACTTGAACCGTTAACTACAGATGTTATCATCCAAATTTGGCTAGCTATTGCATATGAATGGTAAACACGACCGCAAGCGGCGGTAATGCAGCCTCCTGGTAGAGAAGGGTATTAGTATTTTATTATGATGAATTTTTTTGATCACCTCCCGTCAGTGTTCCTTGTTCAAGTCTTTCTCGTTCGCTCACGCTCGATGGCGTCGATCATCTCAGGATCCAGCCCGTTTCGCACATGACAGGGAGCATAGCCCGACACTGACGTACACTTATTCACCTACACAGATGGTCGTGAGAGGGGGATAGAAAGAAACAGTGAACGGAACCAAACACACATCGACAGAACTTTGGCATGAGTACTGTTCCCATCTTCGGCCTTGCTACCTTTTCTCTTCGCAGTCGTCATCCATCTGTATATGCACGGCTGTGATAGCATGCGGCGAGAGCTACCCCCTCAACGTGCGGCGGAACAGCCGCGAATGTGGCATCGTGAGCGGGATGGCGTCGTTCCACGCCCTTTGAGGCAAGATGCGAGCACCGATCGCGAGGCGCTGTGGCTATCCCATCATAGGTAAGACGCGCACGCATGCGAGGTTTTTTTTTCTTCTTCGTCTTAATCATGGCGCACCAGCAAAATCTGCAGCTCCGTACGTCAGCCGGACATTGTGGGTAGAGCCCAAGTCCCGAACCACGGAGATCTGGGTTTGGAAGCCTCGAATTGTTTTGTTGCAGTAGTCAATTATGCATGGCGTCCTCAGCGAGGATGTTTGCAGGGACTTAAGCGTGTGTTGGGATATGCTTAGAAACGAGGCTGTGACCCGCGGAAACGGATGGTGGGAGGGCGCGCTTTGGATTTGGGTGATGAAGGAAGTGTCTTTTATGGATGTAACAAGTGAGCAACTTTAGTTTGCGCGGCGGCTTGTCAGACCTCGAAGTCAAAGAGATAGTTGGCACTATCCTGAATGTAAGTCCGAGCTGTAAAGGAAGCCCTTGATGGGCTCTTCAGTGAGACTGCTGCGCAGGCGAAACCCCGGGATACATTCGGGTAAATTCCATTTAACTCTTTCGTGATTCGAGAGTTTAGCAGTGCTGTTCCAGCTGTCGATCTGAACACACATATATTTTTTCTTTTTAACACTCTCATAAAGACCACGCCACCTTTCCCTGTTCTGTCGTGTACCTTTACTATTTATTTTTCGTAGTTTATTGCTATTTCATATTATTATTTGTAGAGTTTGTGTCACTTTGTCGGCTTCTCTCTCTCTGAAGCGCTTCTTTTTGTAGCTGCTATGACCTGTTTTCTTTTCATCGTGTACGTCTGCGTCTAGCTCCGCCCCTTTTCTCATGTTACAGAAGCTAAGCTGTCCGAGAGGTTATACTGAGCTCATTCTAAGCAGTTAACATCCCACTCACAGAATCTTTCACCTTTCTGCTCTATACCAAATGTCCAAGTGTAGTTCTATCAGAAAACAGACACTGGTCGTGCCAACGTCACTTTTTACCCCTACAATTCGTTCTGTCTTGTCCTAAATTCATGTTCTAGGTTCTTCCTGTGGTGCTGTTTCTCGAAATCTCCTTTTTTTTTTCTCCCGCGGTTTTGATGTTTTTTGTTTTATTGGGAATGTGAAAACCGCAGTGTTATGGCATATTCGACACGCACTCTCTTGGCATTCCCATCTGTCGCCCCCTTGTGGGTATACGTTCATTCACACGTCGCGTAGTTTCTCATTTTTGGAATGTCTCATTCACACGTCCACTGTGACGCACAGCCGCGCCTTCTATCTTTGGTATTGGGGCAGTAAGAAAACAGCTAGCGCAAGAAAGTGTAAGTGGTCTTTGAAAGCGCGACAAAAGTTGCGCTGATATAGTTCCTAAATCAGTGCCTTTCCATGTTTCGCAGATGCCTCATTTAAGAAAGAAACTATTGCAACAACCGGGACGGTCGACGCGAAGCTCGCAGCAGTTACGGCAATGACGCAATGTTATCCTCGATGAATTCAAAATAGCTCTCACGGTTATAGTCGCCACCCAGCACTTACAAGATCATGGGGTCTAACGGCAGCACTCGTCTATAGGATAGTGGTCGTGAAGTATTGTCGATGACATTGAGAATGAAAACTCTTATCCCATTATACAGTGATGCTGATAACGAAGTTAGTACGCTGTTGAGCGTGTTTGCAACATACAGCTTTATAAACTATTGATAACCACCACTTTGCTTCTTTCCACGAGTACCTTTATGTGTAATAAGGACGAACTTTCCGACGTTGCCAATGGCTTTGCTGCCGACCACACCCTTATCGGATATGGTTACTGTGCAGGCTTCTCGGGTATCTTGGTAAAATCCCCGCGAAGTTTTATGAGTAGTGCTATTGTACAGCTGAGCCACGTGATGTCAGCCAACAGAATGTGAGTGCTGACAATGATTACAGCAGTGGACTCACTGTCAAACGCTTCCGCGAGTTTCTAACGCTCCAAACAGCAAACTTATACGAATCTGAGTGGTATTTCTTGTTTTCACGAAGACTTAACTGGCCGTATCGTGCCTTCTCTCGTAGTGCGTGAATGTATTGACGTCATTACCGCTTCCGCAGCGAGCGATTAGCGCCGTTATTGCAATTTCCTAAGTTCGAATAAAACACAGTGTGAACGCTTGCTGTCCTGCACCGCTGCGCGCTAGCAACGTTAAGCTCTTTTGAATCTCCCGCGTGACCATGAAGCCGTGCTTGCTTCGGTGTAACATTCATGCTCAATACGAAACTGTACATTATGGTTCACTGAGGTGCATGTGTATAGATATCATTTGGTCTCTACCATTTACCCTTTTCCCCTATCTGATCGCCAGCTAGAATAACAAAAAACAAAAGCTGGTATGCGACATACGAGATGCGCGCACGTAGGTCCAAGTCATAGCGCGCAATGAAAAAAATATTCCGTGTCAGTGGTCGAATGTACAGTGACGAGAAGAAGCTGCTAGTGTTTACCCGAAACGGTGTGACGGAACGATCACCTCAGTCCCTAACAAAATTGATGGGGGCTATTTCTGTTGAGAGAGAAGGACAGGGCGTCTGATGGAGTGCGTGGGTGCGTTCCAATTCGCCTCTGCCGGGCCAGGAAATGCCTGTGCGTGAAATCGGGCTACCTACTTGTCTTCACAAAAGCGTTACTGGACAATGATAAGAGAACCGCCAAAATAACGCCATTGCACACTTATGTGCTCGTGACCGAGTCGCATTGAAGTATGCTCTCTTTAGGTGTTTGCTAGACCTTTTTAACGTCTGCGATTTAGTAATCGAGCCTGTGATTGCAGTAAGAGAAATGAACAAGCTTGTGCCTGCCATTTGAATGTAGGAATTACGCGTAGAAGCGGTTCTCGTTCTGACTACAGCGCCCCCACGAACCAGCCATGAGGCATCTATCGGGACGAGACGTCACAGCACTGCGAACATATTACAAAACAATTAGTGTTCTGTTTTATTAACGGCGTGCTCTCATTGTAACAGTCAACTTGGTGGCCCATCTGGCGACAGCGCAGGCCAGAGTCACCGATCATATGACAAGGAGCGGGAATATTTACGTTCAGGTCAATGTGCTCTCCATCCGCAGGGCGACAAGAAATTTGAGATAAAGTAAGCTGTCCCTTCGTGATGTTACTGGCGGTTGTAGGCCACTGACCCTAACACTCGACGGAATAGATTCCAAGGGCAACACCGATGACGGACATTGAGTATAGAGATAGTGTTATATGCGTGTCCTTGAGATCATAATATCTTATAGGGAAACATTCAATATATATATAGTGAACTAGAATATATATTAGATGATTCCTGCGGACATAATGTCAGCAACGCTAAGCCGTAGTTCGAACTTTCGTCGCGTAATTAGCAAAGAACTTCAGGGGGCTGAGAAACATAATTTAATATTGAGTTTGTCATCTTAATGAGCAAACATCTTTTTTTTTCGCTTTAACTTGTAGACTTCTGGTATCCGAGTCAAACAGATATGCTGTAAAGGTCTAGCGCACCATTGAGAAATGCTGAAAAAATAAAGTGAGTGGTATTATTCCTTCCCCCAGACGTTGATATTGGCGACAGTGTTCAAGAAAAGGAAGACATCGCGGCCGTGTGGAAAGAATTCTGCACATCACCGACCTCACGCTGGTGAAAGAGCACGAACAAAACTTGTTGCGTGACACAGAACTTCGGAGCGAGAAAGAACGGTCGAGCATTTCGTGTACGCTTAAACGGAGCCGTGTTTTTCGTTTTGATGGCTCAGTGTCAACGAGCGTATTATTGAACGAAATTTAAAATCACTGTAGGCTCTGGTTCTAGCACGTTCAGTCAGGCCGGCAGAATTGGAACGCACCCATTAGTGTGTATAAGGTCTGTGGAGAGTGCTTGTAGCAGCAGACGCACTATTGGGCCGTTGGCGCGATGTCCTCACTTTGGTATACCATATCTTGTCCTATTACTGCACATCCTTTAGAGGACGCAAGTGTAGTTCGCGTCACTTTCCGGCTATTCACCATCAACCCGGGACTTTTTGCTGGGCACGATTGCGAAAAGTTGGCGCCGGCCTTTGCGCATTGCTGATTTGCTGTGGTCCTAAAAGTTTTGGCACGCTCCCTTGGTCCCCTTGCCTGCGATTATAAAAGGAATAAATCAGATGATGTGTGGCGGTCATTTTTTTTTAATCGTACACAGGTCACTCAGAAGCTCACGAAATCCTTATGCACACTTGTCAGCCAGCTTAACTGGGGCGCTCCGCAGCGTGGCCTGGACTGATTTGACGGGGACCATCCGCGAAGCGCTGAAAGCTGTTACTGAGATGGGGAGTCGTCGAGTAGCGTACGCAAAACCTTGCGTTAGCGTTTGTCGCCACTGCGCATGCCTCGCACGCTAACTTATTGTGGGCCCTCGTTATGCCACCGTTAAGTGACGGAAATAGAGGGCGACCGCAATGAACGCTGTCCTTTGCGTACGCTATTTTACAACTCTATTATACTTCAGTATTATCGAATAGCATGTTGTAAAGCACGGGTGACATATTGGCAACAGAACCAAAACTGTGCGGTGCTGTAGCAGGCATCAATCAAATCGTTCCAGAACCCGGTGCGGAGCGTTCGAGATAAGATTGCTGGCAACTGTACATATCGTTTTGCTGGTTCGCAAGATGTGACCATCTCGTGTCCAGAAAATTCACACGTGCTGGTTGTTGTTTTAGAAAATCAAGCACCACCTTCGAACAAAAACCTTAGCGAACGACAGCCTGTTCTGCGTTCTTTTTACGTTTTATGCATATGCAGTAGGTTCACTAATGGGCCTGACCTATATTCTCTATATTTACATCTTATTCTATCCTCCATTCCTCCCCTTCCCACACCCTGCCCCTAGTTTCTGCTCAGGGTTGTAAACTGAAGCCGAATACAACTTAGGAAGGCAGGTGATATCCCGCTCAGATGATTGACGAGCGGCAGATGATTGCTTCCGCTTCCAAAAACATAGTCTCGTTCATGTTCAATGCCTCGCACTCCAATGGCGGAATCACCGGCCACCTGGTTCATGGTGTGCACGCCGATCGGTGCAGGCTGATATTCATTTGATTTCAAGGAGGAAATGCCCTCTGCCTTCTGAAGCTGCGCCTGACCAAAAATACACATTGCAATTTTGTTCATGCATGCATTGCCTGTATACATACTGAAAAGGACAAGCCTATAGAGAGCGCAACGTGGCCTACGACCGTTATACAACAAGAGTGACGGAGTGGGCTTGCTGGTAAGTGATGTGGGATTGGTTTTAGCGCAAACGTGACAGCGCTACTAGTAAAAACAATATTTATTCTTCGAGACCCACACCGCCCTACTTCAACAGTAAACAAAGATCTCGTGGGGATAAAAACCGACATGTGCGAAGCAATCACCCGCCCAACAGCAACGTAACAGGCGATAACCAGATAGCAGGAAGTCAGCACTTTCGCAGGAACCTTAACACTTTTGACGACAATGACGCAGATATCACCAAGAGCGTCGATGCGCTCAGCTTCTACGATGAGGAAGAACGAACAAGCTGGTTTCCTCGCTCTCCGCACTCAGTCGTGTTGATTGTCGGCCAGAGTTCGACCGCACTGTCCTTAATTTTGAGTCGTCATATGGACGAGATCACCCGGCTCATCGTTGAAGCTGAGCGCATCGTCGCTCTTCGTTAAAAGAGAATTGAGGTTCCTGCGAAAATGCTGACACCCTTCTACTATCTGGTTATCACCTGTTAAGTTGCTGTTTGATTCCCTCGCACTTGTCGGTTGTTATAATCACGTGACCTTTATTTATTGTCGAGGTAGGGGTACATTTAGGGCGGTGTGGGTCTCGAAGAATAAGCACTGTTGTTGCTGTAGTAGCGCTGCCTGTTCTGTCTTCCTTCTTGTGTCAATTTCGCGCTGCAACTATGATCGTTCTTCCGCCTACTAGCCATGCCACTGAAGGAAAGAGTGTGCCGTAAAATAACTCGGAAGACGACTGGACACATGGGGGAATACCTGCGTCTCGTTGTTTCGGCGTCCTAGGACCTCCGGGACGGGGTGACGGGCGTCGAGGGAGTGGCTGCGTCGTCGAACTGCAGGGGCCGGCCGATGCCCGAGACGCTCGTGACGGACGGTCCGTCGGGCACGGGCCCGCCCTCTCCGCTGGCCGTCGAGTCCTCGGGCGTCTTGGAGACCTCGGTGGTCTCTTGCTCGTGCGCCGCAGAGTGCGCTGCGTGCTTGTGCTTGTGGTGGAAGGGCTGCAGCGAGAACCGCCGGTGCGTCACCTTGCGGCCACCGCGGCGCTTCGAGATGTGCGGGTTGTCCTTGCGCATCGTCTTGTTCCGCAGCACTTGCAGTTGGGTGTACACGCGCCGAAGCTCAGCCTGAGAGAAAAGAGAACCGCGTTTCTCATCATTTTAAGGCGATAGAGTAGCAATACCCTCGGCGGCTGCGAGTCTAGGCGTAAGGCAACTGCCTGGACATGCTGCGAAAGCCTTTTGGTCACGAATTTTGTGCACTGCTTTCGCTTAAGTGCGTCAAGGATGCTAACTGACTGTTCCCGGTGTTCCAACAGGCATTTCATAGTTGCCCCGGTGCCTATGTTTCACACGTGCGCACATTCATGTAATTGCACTGTGTTCATATGTAGCCTGATGTTAAGGAACGATTCATCACTCATTTATGTACTGAAGGAGCATCGGTACTCCTTAGTGTTGACAGTTATGGGTGATGAGGAGGAGACCGAAAGACGAATTCTCAGCCTATTGCCCATATGAAGTTCGCACGCTTTCGGCTTGATCTTTACGCATTCCGTGTGCACCGTTGTCGCGCTTGCCCTTTCATAGTGAACCATTTTATCGACATTTTCAGCGTGTTGTTTTTCTAGTTAGAGCTATGACTTGTATAACTAATGCTTTTAGAATTTACGGTCCTGGATGTTGTGACATTTCTACTCTTAGTTCAGCAACTCGCCTAACGATCCTATGTAATACGTAGCGTTAATCAGGACGCGGAAGTTTTCGCTAGCTGCTCAGACTTACCCTTATGTCTTCCGGATCCATGTCTGCCAGATTTATGTCTGCAATGTCCACCTCTCCGTTGGAAAGAACGGCTTCGTGGAGTTTCAGATTCTCTGGATGCGGATCCGGAATTTCATACGATGAAAAATGACGACTGCGATGCTCTGTTGCCAAGTTGGGAGGCCGATGGTGGTACCATAACTGCGCAGGCAACAGCGGAGGAAAATAGATGCTTCGTTTGCCATGACTTAGACAACGCTGAGGCACGTCTATGAAGTGTTTAGAACTGCGGGTCTAGTGAATAATGAACATTTATAGCTCTAGTTAGAAAATAGAAAAGCTCACTGCGCCTTGTATACTTCATTAATCTTTCAGGGAAACAAAATCGCGCGCTCCAACGGTGAGTATTTTAGGACTGATAGCATACATGGCTTTAAAATAGTACTGACATCCAGGTTTTAAAGCTGTGTCCAATATTTCACGCAAATCTCCTCAATACAGAGGCGGTTCTTGGCAAGTGTGAAGTTTAGTAAACGCTTATGAGATATTTTATTTTGTCTATAAAACCTATTTTTCGCATGGCGCACCTACCGACATCGACACTATAAAGTGACATCAGACTACATCACCAACTCCGGTGAATGCACGGATAAGTGTGGCCATTTGAGATGACGTCACGTTCCAAACCATTCAAAATGACCCCTTGTATTCACAAGCAGAGCTACCGTCTCTGGAGTGTAGCAGTATATAATTTTCTATGGACCGTAGCGGAGCCACGGAGTAAAGTGGCGGTGGAAACGCCACGGCATCTCACTCGCAAGCACTTGACGAAAAGGTGATACCGTGTCGTGACGTCAGGGTACAGGAGGAACCAGAAGCAGCTTTGACACGTTGTAATGAATTTTTTTAAAGTACGCTCATGCTTACTAATACATTTTCTATGTTCTTCAAGACTTGACCTTTTATTCGACACAAAAAGAAGAAAAATATTAAAATTTGCATTTCAGCAGACCTTAACACTCCCCGCCTAGACTATGCGTTATGCTTAGGCAGATGCCGACTATGTGCTCTGACATTTCACAAAATTGGATTGGTGTTGTATCGGACAAAAATGGAAGCTTATGAATAAAACAAAAATGCGGGAGCTAGGCTTACAGAAAAAGAGAACTATAGGAAAGACTGTGCATTCCTTCAAGGTGTGTCACCAAGGAATATTTATCTGTATTGAATGACTCTCTCTGTTATTACCGCAACTGCCACAATGTCTCATATTTGCTGATCTATATTGGCGAAGACTATTTCTTTTAGTTGTTGACACAAGAACTTTTCTTAGCCTTAACATGTTTCGATGCACCATATTTGCCAATGAAAGCTTTGTTTTGTTATAGCTTTAGGTTCGTGTGCACCATTTTCACTTGATTCGACGTAGTCTTTGTGTTACACTCCAACTGCAGTACTTTCAACGAGTTGGCCCCTAACTTGCTGAGGGTATCTGGAGCCGCCCACAAGCTAATTAAATTATTCGCCAAAGACACGTCTCTACACAGACATGGTGTTTTTCTCGAAGTTACCTAACTCTGCAATTGCTTGACTTAATTTTTATGGAGAGACGATGGATTGATGTGATTTGAAGACCGGTTTCTCGCTAATGAAACTCCCTACCATGCGGAGACGAATTCCCTGAAGCTCTAGCTGACTCTGATCCCGGTTTGCTGTTCACTTTAAAGTTACAAAACAGAAAAACAACGCGGTATTTAAGTCGATTGTTTTTTCTTTGTCGTCGGGGCTCCCCCGTTTCATCGTTCCGCCCAGTGGTCGTAATTAGGCAACAAGGCATTCGACAGAGAAATGCGGGCCAGCAATGCCTAGAGAAGCAGTCGCAAAGCTTCGTTAAGCGTAGGCGAGAGTTCTATCAGGGCTGGTGCTAATAATCAAACTACTGCAGGGAATTTAGGGGCGTGCTCTTAGCCCTAACTCGATTCGATCTCGCGGAACGTATTCGCATTGCATTGCACTGGAATCATTAACAGGTCGTCCCAGAGATGGGTACTAACGCAATTCTTTTTTTTTGTGTGTGTGTGCGCGTGTTTGAGTTGCTGATGTCTACCGATGAACGAAAGAGCGTACGAAGATCTTTGTAACAATAACTAAAGTGCCGCTGCGAGGTCGATTAGCTCTTTCCTTATGGGTCCTATACGTGATGTCGTCGCGGAGGAGGGGGGGGGGGAGGTTGTAAAGTTTGGCACTGATAGTTCCTAGCTTTCCTTCTTGCAGTGAGCGCGATCTTAATGGCGTTCGTTTCACTTTGTTTACCTCTGTTTTATCCTGACCGTTCTGACCTATCCTCCAAATTCATTCCAGTATTCCGGTCTCCCCCCATTTTTGCCCCCTGGATGTTGTATGCAAGCACTTCGCCCGCCTTTTTAAGTTCATGGCTCAGCTGTCCGCTATGATAGTGTATAGCATGCGTTTTGTTTCTTACGATATCGTTTTGCGCGAAATAAACGCGAGAGACGCACTTTGTCTCGCTCAGTTTAGGCACTCACCTTGGGGGCGAATACGAGGAACAGGATGACGGTGACAGTACAATGGCAGCGAATGAAGTATAGCAGAAACACATGGTCAGGCTCGAGAACAGCCGCCAATGCGTGCCTGCGGAGACGTAGAAAGAAAATGGACATGGAATCGGCGGGGGAGTGCGCTATGATAACTCCGATGGAGGCGGAAATGTTGTAGGCCCGTGTGCTCAGATTTGGGTGCACGTTAAAGAACCCCAGGTGGTCTAAATTTCCGGAGCCCTCCACTACGGCGTCTCTCATAATCATATAGTGGTTTTGGGACGTTAAACCCCACATATCAATCAATGATAACCCGGGAACGCTAAATGGAAGCCTCTGTCGACGCAGTGTTCTGACGGCGGTGAAATTTCAATTGATATTCCTAATACAGACAAGTCTGAATATATCCAATCGCAAAATAGTGCCGTATATATATATAAATAATTGCCGGCCCATCGCACGTGTAGATATAGAACCTACAGTGGCTGAGGGTATTCGGTATTATCTTGTGATCATTGGCTCGTGCGTGCAAACGCGAAGAGCTGGGTTGATTTTAGAACAAAAGCGGCCACTAGTGATAATGCTCGAATGGTCGACGCCGAATGTATGAATGCCGGCGTGCCTTGTTTCGGATAAGTTGATCGACGGCCGACGCTCTGTTCGCCGCTATAAGTGCATGCAGTGTGTATCGCAGTAATCCTGAGTTTCCGTCTACCGGCCACACGTTCGGCCAAACAAACACTTTCATCGTCGACATACAGTCTGCTGCCTTCGTCAACGTCATGACCACGTGATAATACTCTCGCGTTGCACCTTGCCCGCGCGTGATTCTTGATAGTTACGCCATGTCATCTTCCACTTCTACTTCGCATGACAACGCTTGACAGGACCCTGTGACCATTGAAAAGTTGTCTCACGCCACTCCCACCTCTGACAGCGCGAGTGTTGGCGCAAGTTTCGTTGGCATCGGCTCGACGCGTGCCACTTCGTGGCGTGACTGCTATATAGCATGTCCATTCGCTACGCGTCCTCCCAGAAGAGCGTCAGCCACGAGTGTAAGCGCATCACAACATTCTTAGCGCGCTGCTATAACATGTTCGCTACGCGTTTATTTACGCTACGTAGGACGGCACGTCCGGTATCGATCGGGAAAATGTATGGATGCTGCGTTTACGTACGACTCCACTGTGCGACGCTTCCGGAAAGTTTAGCAGTTATGTTCCGGATAAAGAGACACACGTCTCCGCGCGCGCCTGATTAGGTCTGTGCCCTTTTGCTTCCTGTAAAGAATAGCTCGGCGCGCAAGGGATAAAAGGCGGTAATGCGAAAGCTCGCGCTTATTGGCTTTTTCGCGCACTGCTTCAGGTATACTGGTAAGCTCTTCGCTAATGCACCTCTAAGAGGGTGACAGGCATGAACGCAATATACTCTTATCGCTTTTTTTTTCGGTAACTCCTTAGACGCGTGTACTTAATAAGGCGTCATAGAGACCAAACTGCTTAGACTACAGCGCTCAGCATACGCATAACAGTGTACGCTAATAGAAGAACGGATGGGTTTTGGGCGCCATCTGGCGGGAATTAGAAACATAACGTGTGGTCGCGTTCGGGGAAAGCGCTAGCTACTGCCGTTAAGAATGTTGAGTGGTTTCAGCGCAAGGTGAATAAGGACAGAGGCAAAGAAGGGACTAAAGCACCAGCGCTGTCTCGCAACAATAGTTCGGGGAAAAACAAAGCTGTAGCTCTCTCAGGCTCACTGAATAAACAGTACTTGCTCGTAGGGCTGACGCGGACTCAAGTCTTAGCCTAATTCTTCTCACCCGGATTCACTCGGACCCGGACTCTCTGAAATTGTTATCAGCCGGAGGCACTCTCGGACTCAAACACTCGATCCCGACTGACTGTTGAAGCTGTTGACAAAGTGCTATGTTCAATACCTTAGTCACTGCTGTATTTCAGCCTGCAGTTACAAATTATTTTGGTGGCTATGGTTGCGGTTCAGTTTAAATGTTTTTTTGTCAGTTAAAAGTAATTCGTAATGTGCCTTAGCGAAAGCTTGTGAATGTTTGTTTCAATAATATGCTGTGGAATGAATTCTTGGGCTGTTTTGAAAATTGCCACCTTACCAATGTAGAACCTGCTCTTGAAAAAGTGGCCTTACAATTCAAAATCTATTCGAATATTACTGTATCCGTGTTCGATTCGGTGTCGCCACTATTCGATTCGTATTCTATTCTGTTCTGAAATATACTATTATTACACCCATATAGTTTTATGTGCTAGTAGAGCGCACAGTTGTTCAGTAAACGCGCACAACTGATGCCACGTGAACACACAGCGACGACGTCGTCAGAGGATAACTGTAAATATAAGAGTGGTGGACTAACCGGCTACAATTAGTACCAGGTGACAAAACAATTTGATTTCGCTATTGATACTATTACAACCGCTGAAACCACTCAATAGATATAACTACATCTAATTATCCCAAACGTCATTTTTACTGCTGTTACCCTAAGAACGCAGCATGCCGCTGCAGTCACGTGAGGCCACACGTCAGCGCACTCGGATCTTTGGAACACGTTCCGTTCGCTTTCGTGTGATTTCGCACAAACGAGAACTCTCTGGGACAATGTAAAGGTGATACGTATGGCGCCGGGCAGGGGACACGCTGCTTGTGAAGTGGTTCGACAGGCGCATGCAAAATGTATACCGTGCAACAGAAATACTCACCGAATTATGTACATACTAAGGGAGAACAGGGTTTCGATGTAAACAGAGCAGCAGAGAGTCCATTTTTCTGTGTAGTACTCAACTTTGGCATTACGTATACAATAGGCTAAGTAGATGCCCAAAAGCATGAACAGAGCTTCCCCTGAAAAGAGAGAAATGGCACTCGTGAGTTAGCCATTCATAGTTAGCAGATGCAGCGCAGTTGCAATGGGCATAATTTAGTCAATACTACAGACTGCAAGAGTCGTAGGGTGCAAGCGCATGGCCAGCGGGCAAGCGTGACAGGAGTGGAGCGAGCTAGCAAACAAAAATATTAACGGGTCGTTGCAAATGTTCTTCTAATTACCGACTCTTAAGGGTTCTATGCACCACTATTACCGTTGCTTGCAGCTTCTTTTTAGATGCGAAGCAGCTTATGGCGGGGCATGTGTCCGTCACTCCCTCGTCCTTCCCGCGGCGTCCACCCCCCACTACGCATGCGCGTCCCCTTCCCCCCTCTCTTTCTCCTCTAAGAATCCTCATACACTACGGAGCGGTGCACATGACAGGTGGTGCGACAGCTCCAGCATACTTCGCTGGGGGGCGCCACGGTAGTTCAGCGGTATAAAATGACGCAGCGCGCGCCTCTCACTCTCCTGCGTAGCGCCATAAAGGGCGCCAGCGTTCACACTTAGGTCACTCTATCCACGCCAACGCCAGCTTTCAATAAAGTACACCACCTCCGCACTGCTTCGCATCCGCACATGGTTCATTTTAGCGGGAGGTGGTAATTTATACTTTGGCCTTACCCTGCCCATAATGGAGGTCAAGGGATTAGGTGCTCGACGAATCGCGAGGTTGAATCCCGGTAGCCACGGCCGCATCTCGATAGATTAAAGCACCTCATGTGGTCTAAATTTCCAGTGCTTTCCACTAGCGGCGTGCTTCATAATCAAATTCGGGTTTCGGGTCGTAAAAGTTCAATAATTATTATATGTTGCTCTTCATACCGTTGGGATTCCATTTTCAGACCGACAACTACTGCCGGTGCTCGTAAACATATGCCCTTGTGCTGCGCGACAAACGCACTAGTACAAGAAAGAAAAAAATATGCTGCGCAGCGGCTTCGTGGTTCGGAAAGGAAGCTGGAATTGTAAGCTGGAACAGTGCATGACAACGAAGCCACGACGTTTGTGCGTGTCGCTTCGGTCGCAATGCGAATAAAGGCAGACACTATGCAGCGTGAAGGGCCGCCGTTGCCAATCACAATATTGTGGGACGCGTAATTAAATTGTGCCCCAAGCGCCGCGCTTCATCTTGTGAGAAGCAGTTCGGAGTGCCGTCTTTCTCCCACTCCAGAGAGCACAGCTGCGCGGTGCTCTTGCTGCTGATTGAGTCAAAGGGGCAACTCCTCCGTCGTCAAATTTGCATACGGCACTTGGTCGAGCGCTTCTCTTTGCCCGCCCTGCGAAAGTCGATCGGGAGGATCAACAAAGGGACAAATTGCTTCTTTTTTTTTTTTCGTTCTGCTACGTTTTACCGCAGGCTGTATAGCGTGCCGTCGGCACCAAAGAGCGCGGCTCTCGAAAGAAAGCAGCGCAGGCGAAAAAAAAAAGAGAGAAAAAACACCATCTAGACGCGAATAGAATGGGGGAAATGTAATCACAGCCGAAGGAAGTCAAGTCGACGGTGTTTGCTCGCCTGAAGTGAAGCAATACGTAGGAATTCAGGTGTCGGTATTAAGTAAGGGCCGCGAGTCTAAACTAATCGCGCACCTGGAGGGTACACAATCGAAATTGAGGCACGTACTGTACTCAGCAATGTGTCTATACTTTTGATGAGTCAATCATGTGCGTTATCCTTGTACCGGAGTAAACACCCGATGTTCGAAGTTATATGCCAAAGGCGGACGTGATTAAACGTCAATTTCAAGACCATCACGTACGGAGCGATGAGAAAAACTTTGCTGTATTATAGACGGACGTCAATCGTGGGGCCTTGCATGCCACATGGGGCCCTTGGGCAAGGGAGGCATTATCCGGTCATACATTAACAGCTCACTCAACCGGGCTGTGTGCCGTTAAAGCGCTGTGGCTGTTGTAAGTTTCGAAGCCAGTGCAACGCCGATCATATTGGAAGCTTCACTCCTTCATCACTCTAGTACTGGAACTGCTTATCCCAAGATCATGAAAATGTAGCGAGACTGTGCGTTACAACCGTGTCCTTACAGTCTCTACATTCTCTTGCCGTTCGGGGCACTTACATTTTTTCGGTGTATTCAGTGCGCGGCACGATGTCATGCCTGGTAACGCATTCGACCTGCCTTTCTCGCAATTTGTTCTTTCTCTGTCTCTGAAGTTTAGCAAAGACTGATCGCGAAACACGACTTTCATTTTTCCGTACTTCAGAAAATATAGCGCACGAAAGAAACGTGAGATGTGACGACTGTACAAGCGCTTACATTGAAGTAAGGTATTTACGTCTCGTGCAATAAGCGTTTATTCCTCCTCATACCTTAGCGAACGTTCGTATGAGCCAACTAGCCCCAAAAAAAAAAAAAGTCTTAGTGCAACAAATGTGTTAGGTAAAAAAAAAAAAGAAACAGACCACGTGCTGACACATTTAGTTACTGTCCTAGCTATCTCAGACTCTTAACTGATTATATTGCTGCAATGACAATACAAGACAACAGTCACAGTGAAGAAGATGGCACGGGGACTTCGTGTCACATTTCTTCTAGTCGTTTGGACATTCAAGTCAAGGCATGGTTGACTTCGTCCAAAATCTGAAACACACAGTCAACAAACGACGCACTGCTCGTCGGACCGAAGTTTTAGCGCGACACTTTGATTCTAAAATGAGGAGCACTCTCGAATCTGAGTGCCCCGTTCGAGGCAAGCCGAAGTTCTGAGAGAGAAGTGTGAACGTACCAAACTCGGTGACGTAGTCCCACCAGAGCGCGCGGCAGACGAGGAAGCGTAGCGCGGAGCGGTGCCCGGCGGCGCGGGCCACCTGCAGGATGCTGTGGCCCTTCTCCCAGTTGTCCATGACCACGGCCGTCCAGGCCGACATGTAGCCGGCGACGACCAGCACCAGCCCCAGCAGGTACTTGAGCAGGTCCTTGTCCCGGACGCACACGCGGTGCGCCTTTCGCGTCCGGAACTCCGCTAGGATCCTGCAAGTGTGCCCCAATATCTATAGTGTTGTCACTCTCGCAGCAAAGGTCCTGGCAAGGACAGCATTACTTCAAGCAAAATCAATACGTCTAAACGTAGACGTTGGTGGTGGATTCATATTTGCAATACAATGCAGATAGATGTCTTTTTTTCATTTCTGGGATGGTGAAATGCGCTGTTTTTTGTTTCTGCGGCACGGTGTGTTCTGCTTTGCTGTACAGATCATCGCTTGTCGGGCTCCAGCTCTTTACAAACTCACCTTTGAGTGCATTAAAATTCCTCACCTCCACCATCACACTATAATCTCATGAATCAGTGAAGTTGTTTACCTGCCTATCTGCCACGTATTTTTGCAGATGTGCGCACTTCAGTAAAATACACGGTTTGTTTTTATCGAGATAAGACACTTGATTAGAACAGCTGAAAGTCGTTGTTTTGAGGATTACACAAATAAGCAAACTGCAATATAAGTCAGCCAATATAAGGACCATTTTATTAGGGAGTCAGTGCCTATGCAGATTTGTGTACGTTTTATTGTAGGGTTTGCTCTGGAGACTTCCGAGACAGCAGCCGGAATAGTATAATCACGACACTTTTTATACGAACTCGCTACGGTTGTGGGACTCACCTGTATATCTTCAGTAAAAGCGCGCCGTAGAGGACGATGAATCCTATTTCGCGGAACCAAGGTTCTAATAAACAGGTCGTCGTGGTAGGTTCGAAGTAACGTATTATGATCTGAAACACACAAAAAGCAAAAGAGAACAGGATCGTGAGGAAAGCCGATGCGAGCATCGGAAGGAAGATGTTCAACTTCTTGCACGAGCTCGGGATCAAGCAACACTTTGCAGCGTGAACTCGACACCAGGACAAAAGAAGACGCGCAGGAAGCTATATTCTTCTTTGTGTCTTCCTTTGTCCTTGCATCTTCGCGCTGCCACAGGTGTACTTCTAATGATCAACGAACACGCCCATTTTAGCACTGTCGTTCACAACAAATACGTTCCAAAACATGAACTAAACTTGGTAAACCTTAGGATACGCTTTCATAAAAGAACAACCCACGTAGCTGCCACTTGAAGGAATACTTCTGAATATCAGTTTTGTCAGCACACGAAAAAATGCCAGGCCTGCGCGAAAGGCTGAGCATAGTCACAGCGAAAGCTAGAAGAGCGGTCTTTCAGAGCGTTTTCAAAGCACTCATTGGGTAACTACTGCAAGCACACTTGTTTGGTACCCACTAGGGCATTAATAATAAATTGTTGGGTAGAAGGCCGGCATTCGCTATGCTATTTTTTGTCATTCTTTTGAGAAGTGTGGTATCCGCTAAACACATGCAAGGAATTCTGTGCCAATTGTCCATGCAGTGGCTGCCGACGATGAAGAATCATGGCTGAAGTGCGTACGCGCCGCCGTTAATAGGAGAACAAGAACAAGTTATTGTAATGGGTTGGAGCAGTGGACGGCCCACTCGTTACGCTATTCGCATTGTGCGACGACTGGTGGTTATTTTGCTGTTTTAAAACCTTTTATAAGTCGTATTACCGCGATATCTTTGCCGACATCAAGCCTGCCTAAGGCAAGTTTGCCAGCAAGTCTCAAGCACCAGCGTATCTCAGTGGTAGAATACTGGGATGGCACCCAGAAGACCCGGGTTCGAGCCCCACTGTGTCTTTAATACTAGCTTTTTCCAATTTCGTGTGATGTTGTTACGGACAGCGGTGGTGGACAACTGTGCGTGACCGTAGTTGTGATCTCATAACAGCTTTCGCTGTAAAATCTAATACATTAAAAGTGTTAAAGTTTCTCTGCATAATATATCCGTGCGCTACAGGTAAATGTTAAAATGCCTACATGCATGGACGAGAGCTGTAACGTGCTGGAAATAAGATAAGACAAATTGATTTTAGGTATCGCTAAAGTCTGTAGTTCTCACAATCTCTTTCGTTGTGAAGCACTGCTTGCGCACATCGTACGACTAGGCAACACACCTAGATTCTAGGCACACACCGAGATTCTAGGCAACAGTGCCGTGGCGGAAATGCTATGTATCCTTCAGTTATTGTCTCTGTGAGTATCTGCTGCAGCTGCACAAGATGTAAGCACAACATCTTGATCATTACTGTGGAATCAGGTTCCAGTCATGCGATGTATGAATGCATTCTCTCACAAGGTAGATTCTGAAAATTCTTCAAAAATTGTGCTGGGTTATTTTTCTCTCACTCCCTTTTTTTGTAAAGGTTCAGATCAATGCCCTCAGTGTGTATTAGTTAATGAACACCTTATTCAACAATTAAATACAGATGTAGATAATTGGGCTGATTGGGTTGAACAACGCTTGCTTGATAGATTGATTCACTGATTAGAATAACGGTTAACTAACTGTCGGAGTTACTGGAGTGACTTAGCGATAAAACCTACAAGTGATGCACTGCTTGAAACAATCAATAACGAGTTATTTATTGTGCGATTGATGAAATATCGCCATTCAAAACGCACATGCGTAGTATATAGGATACTCCGGTACGGGGACATGGGCTTCATGCCAAATCATCAATTCCTTTTCAACACGGCTTGTTCAGAGTTTCATATCGAACGCATTCTATTATGTCGATCAGCCAAGCACCTGCCAGTGGCCGCTTCATGCATGTTTAGAAAAATGACGAGAGGTTCACACTGACATGTGCAACACCTCTTCATCTCGCCTGAGGTATCAGTCGTATAGTCAGCTTAGATGAAAATGCTGATTTATGGGAGTCTTTTGATAGTCGATAATGGGTGTCACGAGTAGATGCAAAGCTACAATGCGCACTGACGCATCCGAGCAAGTCGCTGCTGCGTTGCTAAGCGTCATCATTTCAGGCAAGCTGTTTTATCTCGACGTTTAACGTCCTTCGTGCTTTTTTTCTTTTATCGTGGTTGTTTTAGCGCCGCTAAACCCGTTTTTATTACTTTCTGACCACCGGTCTCGCGAAAAAACTTGGCAAAGGGAGTCGCTCAATCTTCAAAAGAAAGTGCGCCTTGCTGCAGTGACCCGGATATGCTTATTCGTCGTATTAATTCTTAGCGTTTCTTTCTTTCTTTTTCGTGACTCCCTGATTTTCTAACCATTGCATGCAGACACTACACTGAAAGGCGAGCGTGTAAACTTAAAGCCTTCGCGTTTGCGTATGTTCTTCTATAGCATTCGTGCTCAGCCGAAGGGGGTTGTCGGTTTCGCTCGCACGCCAGACTCGGATGTCGTCGTCGTATGTTGTGCGTGTTCTCTGTGATCGCGAGTGCGCATGAGGTTTGTGCTGTTCTTGCCCGAAACGACAGTTTGCTTTGTCAATACTCGCGCGTTTCCGCGTCCGTTCGTGTTTCCGTGCGTATACACAGCACTCGGGAGGAGGGGGGGGGGGGTGGAGGCGGTACGGGACACCGCGCCTTCCCGTTTACGATGCTGCCAGGAACACGACCCCCCTTCCCGGAACCATTCAATTAGAGCCGGACATGTCCAATCCGGGGCCGTCGATAGAAAAGGATGAGAGGAGAGAACGGGTCGGTCACTGTGGCCTAGATCTGCAGCGAGCGCCCATGCTTGATCGATTGTCGTCGTTTTCTTTCTTTCTTTTTTCATGTGACTTTTCTTCGCTAAGTGGCGCCTCGGTCGGTTAATGTCAATTTCTGCGGAATAGCAGGTCGTCGGCGTTGCGTTACTCAGGAAGACGGTAAATGGCAAAGAGTTTTCTCGCCGTGTGTGGGAGAAGGAGAGTATAGAGGTTAGCGAAAAACAGTAAAGCAGGGACACTCAGCTTCAGCGCCGCGGTGGCCGCTTGCTTTGGTGTAGAGATTCCGTACGATTTTTTATAGCTTCGCCTACGGCGCCGTTGGAAAGTCGTTAGCCGAAACGAGACAAGACAAGAAGAAACAGAAAAGTGTCACATGCGCGCTATAAGCTGTGGAATGGGGCTTACGGATAAGCTCGCCGCGACCCGATGAAGCGATGTTATAGCAGTCGTGCTGGCGCGCCGAATGTCCGGAAATCGTAACTGTAGCGGCAGAACAGCACTACGAGGAAATGAAGCAGTGACGAATAAACAACGAAGAAAGTGATAAAGTAGTATGGTGAAAAGTTGTGTCGCTGTTTCAAAAGCGCTGGTCGCGTTTTGCACGGCTAATTAAATGACGATTAGAAGCACACGGGGGCGGCGGTCGGGGCACAAACGCACGTGCACTATAGCACGTTACCCGTCTGTACTGCTGCGCACAGCCCTGAAATCGTCGGCTCGATATCGTAACACCGTGGGAGCAGCTTTATGGGGGAGGAGGGATGCAATACTGTAAGAGAGAAAAGAAATGCAATATAGGAAAGGCATGGAGTAATCGAACGTTCCAGGAGCACATGTTATCTGGTTCGGGGTTGTTTTATCCACAAAGTTACACTACTAAACAACCAATATCAGTGACATCAGTACCCTCACTGTAACAAACATACATTGTAAAATAGCACGAAAAACACGCGGACAAAAGAAGAATGCAACACGGGCGCTAACTTTCGATATGTGGGGTTTAACGTCCCAAAAACACCATTTGATTATGAGAGACGCGCTAACTTTCCACAGACGTTTATTATTTCGGAAGGAGAATAATCATTCTTCACTAATAGGCAGGCCTAGTAGCCACAAGTCCCTTCGCTGCGCATAATGCAAGTGTACTCCGTGTTTTGATCAAGCAACCGTACTATTTCATAACAATGATCAAACAGCTAGAGAGGTAGGCAAAGCTTTTTTTTTCATTGCAAGTTTAGGTGATAAATGCATACGCAACCCATCTTCATCCCTGTCTGACAAGGAACTACAGAGGTTTGCTGCCGTCTGGGTTGTGAACAAGAGGAAGAGAAATTGCCGATTATGTATATATAATATTTTTATGTTGTTGGACGGAGTCATTGCGCATGAGCAGTTGTTTCCATGCATATGTTTTCTTTTAGAAAAAAGAAATAAACGTCAGTTGAAAGTTAGCGTTCGTGTTGTATTCTTCCTGTGTCCTCGTGTATTTTTTTTGTTTGTTTTGCGCAGTACCAACCAGATCGACTTTCTGTGCTATAACAAACATACAGCTACAGGCTGAAAACTAATTTGGTTCAGTGAATAGTTTTCTCGAAGCGCACTGCTGTTCTCATGCAGGCATTCATAATCATCGTCGATGCTTTGTTCGCAAATATTTTTTAAACGTTTAGACAGTCTGCTGTCTAGAACCGATTTTATTTCTTCGCGCTAGAAAAAAAACTGAAATGAAGGGAATTAATGGAGTCAATTCGTGCAGGAAAACCACTAACTGTAGCTCAGGAAGTTTTCTGTTTGTGCAAGTTCGCGCGACATTTGCGAAGTTAGCCTGCAGGACGGAAGAAACCAAAGACGCTCATGTACAACAGTGCTAGTGAGCACAGCACTGCTGACTGTTCTTGTTGTACAATTATCATTGCTCTCTTCTGTCTTGCTGGCTATATTCAGAAGCAGTGAACAACGTTTGATTATTTGTTGGGCCGAATAGCATTAGTTTTTTTTTCGCTGTCTTCAATCAAAACCCTGGTTAAACCTGCAAACCCCTCGGCTTGTCGTTCCGCGCTTAAGATCCCTCCTTCTCTCATCTTACCTTTTCCCGCAAGGTTTTATAGCTAATACATTTCATAACTACTCTATCTCGAAGTAAAATCTTTTCCCGCAAGGTTTTATAGCTAATACATTTCATAACTA